GAATGTGGTATATGTTAACCATACCTTTTTTCCCACATTCAATGCCAGACAAGTCCTTTTTACCAATGCTAGGGCTTATCAGGCTGGCTGTGTTATGACAGACAAAATAGTGGTGTAGGCACTATTTATATCATTGATTTTCATGAACAAAGATTGTTACAGTGTGAAGATAAACTAAGATAATAATTAATATTAAGTAACAATTAAAGCCAGCTGTGGAGTTAGAACAAATTTAATATAATTAGAGGTGCACTCAGTGGAGCACATACCACATCACGCAGCATTGGTTGTACTTGGCTCTAAAAAAATATGAAAATGTGTCTCTATGTCTGTCATTATCAATGGACACAGACCATTATTGACAGGACAATGAGGAATAATATTCTACATATGTCCACCAAGTTTCATCAAAGCCAATAATTTTTGACTGAGTTATAGAGAAACAAAGAGTGTGAAAAATCAGTTCCCATGTTAACAAATAGAGATTTTCATTACTCTGCTGTGACCTTGACCTTCTAAAAACTAATCACTTCTAAGTTGGGTCATAGTCAAAATGTATACTAACTTTTGTGCAAATCCATTTTGCTGTTTTTGAGAGACCCTGCTGACACACACAAGGGTGAAAACATAACCTCCAACACCTTTGGTGGTGAAGGTAAAGATTATATTAATTAGCATTTTGCATAAATAATTTTGGATTAATTAATTAGCATTATATGATAATTTCAAATGATAGTAAACAAAACAATTACTAACAAAATGTATTTTTTATTGGAAGTTATATAAATGCTTGTGCCATGAGAGAAATGCAAAACTGTAGTTGATCTTAAGTTAATTTCATACAAAAAAGTGCTCAGGCCTTTTAGATTTCTATTGTTTGTGTCCAACTGAGACTGTTGAACAAACCTAAATTGGGTAACCATTGTAATAATTTTTGGTTTATTTAGGTACATTTGACGTTAAAAGTAACCAATCTAGTCTGTTGTCCCAAACTATCTGTTTAACAGAGAATTTGTCTATTTAAGAATTTTGCATAAGAAATCTGAACCATTAAGTCACCTTAAGCATTTTATTTACATGTATATATTTTTATTTTATCCTGTAGTTTAATGTAAGTTACTAACTTAAAAGCTTGCATATTTAAAAGAGAAAGTACAAACCTCAAACATACTTTTCATGTGTTCTTAAACATTATGCTCGGAACTTTCACAGGTAATCTAGAGAAGGGGATCTTAGGGTTTTATTAAAAGTATAATACTAAAATTTGAATTATAATCTACAATTTGATACCAAACTTATTGACATAGATTCATAAAATAGTAGTTCAATATAATTTTGAATGCATGTCAACAAATGCGATGACATGACCTTTGACACGTGACCCGTTGTGATAGGGTTAATCAATACATTCAGTTACCTATGGGCAGCGATTACATAAGCTAGTTTTTATGATTCTTACTTTACATTATTCTAACAATTAATTAAAGGCAAGTACAATGATTGTCATGAAACTTATCAACTATTTGAAATTAGGGTATTCAATTATTACTATTTTTGATTATTCCAGCTATCCAAAGCAAGCGGCTCTCAGCACTTTCTGACACCTTTCTTTTTTCAGTGCTTGTATATACCATGGTTTGAGGAACACTGTACTATTTGACTAAGGGGGACATAAATTAATCATTTAACAAATACCAGCTCTAGTTCTGGGTAAATCACCTGCCTAGTTTGACTAATTACTGCTTACCTAATGGCTACTTTGGTTTAGTATATGCCATTTTTACCAGCATCACTTTATATGCAAACTTTAACCCGTTACTTGCCGTGGCCATTTTGTTTTATCGTGAGGGCAAAATCACATTTGTGAATTTAAAAAATTATAGAGAACTTATCTTTTATTGGATTTCAGATTTTATTTTTGTAAATAGTGGAATAACATTCAATTAATTGTACAAAATTGTATTATTTAATGAAGCTTAAAGAGGAATTTAATGAAAAAAATCCTAAATCCTGTAAATAAGCTCCCTCTAAGAAGAAAAAATTTGTTTCAAAATGTTGAAAAAATCCAGTTGAAATACTGGATTATTCGTGATGTTCCCCGATCCTTCTAGAAACTCATCACGTGTTACCAGAGTCGCGTGACTTCCACTGTCATAACACTGCCCCTTCCTTAGTATTGTTCGTCCCGAACAATAGCCACTTAAATTAAACCAATAGATAATTAACAATAACTTAATTAAATGTACAGAATTTACAAACACAAAAATTAAAATTCAACAAAGTCTCTTAGTTTTATGGGACGTATCTTCTTCTGTACTGGTCCCTGTCTCGTTGGCTTCTGCTTCACGTAAAGTTCATCTGCTCCATTCAAACTTCTGACCTTTTTTGGTCAAATCATGTAGTGGAGCAGCTATAGTTGAAAAGTCCACAAACTTCCAGTAATAGGTACAGAGTCCCAAGAAACTTCTTAACTCTCCCACATTGTCTGGTGTTGGCCAATCACGCACTGGTTTCACCTTGTCAGGATCGGGTCGCACACAATGCTCACTTACAGTGTGACCCAAGTAAAGCACCTCTTTCTGGAACAAGTAGCATTTCTTGGGATGGAGTTTGAG